CTGCTATTGCTATTGCTGCTGCTATTACTACTACTACTACTACTACTACTACTAGTACTAGTGCTAGTACTACTACTACTGCTACTACTGTTACTGCTACTGCAGCTGCTAGTGCTACCACGACACGACGACCACCACCACGACTACTACTATCACCATTACTATTATTATTACTACTACTACTACTACTACTACTACTACTGCTACTACCATTACTACCACTACTACTACTACTCCTGCTACCACTACTACTACTGCTACTGCTACTGCTACTGCTACTACTACTACTACTACTACTCCTGCTACCACTACTACTACTACTGCTACTACTACTACCACTGCTAGTATTACTACTACCATTACCAGTGCCACTACTGCTCCTACTACCACTGCTACTACGACAGTTTTATTGACCACCATTACTGCGACCACGACTCGGAGCCACACTGTCTCGGAATAGGAGCAGGAATGGGAGTATGAGTAGGATGAGCATGAAGAGCATTGAAGAGCGGTAGGAAGCCGTTTCCAAAGGCGCACAGTTTTCTTGGTGGCCGGATGGTGGCTGCCTCCTGACTGATGACAGCTCCGAGCTCAAGGCCTCACTGCTTGATTCAGGGTTCATTCGTGTTTGCAGAACTGCTTAGAATGCTGAAGTCTGAGACTAGAATGTTCGTGAAGAGCAAGCTGGCCAGCAACCTGACTGTTTGTGCACAGGTGATTGATTGTCAGGTTTTAAATGTTCACCCCAAGCTGAAATATACTGAGGCAGCTTGCATGCAAAATCGCCGCCACCCGTAGGCTGTTGCGAGCCTTCCGGTTGTGGGCTGGAATCCTATGCTGCACCACTGATCCTTTGCAAGCCGGTACACATGGGAGTTTCCGAAAGTAAGGGGTAATTACCTTATTTAAGGGTCCTTATAATCAGGATCCTACTATTTAGGGTACTATATTAGGGTCACCTATTTTCGAAAACCCCCACATCCACGCAGAACGGCGCAGAGTAGCCGTGGCGAGGCATCAACTTTCAAATGGTCCTGGACAGCTTCTTGGCGCTGGCCAGGGATGTCTTTCAAGCTGCGGCACATGCTTTTGTCGAACCACGGCTGGCATGTGCATGTCGCCGAAGTTTAGTATTGATGCCCTGGTGCTGTGGAAATGTCCACGGCACGTGCTAAGTTCAGAGGGGTTGAGGTTTGCGGATGCAGTGCAAGAATTAAGGAGTTCATGGGTCCCGGGTTTGCGGGTGCCGAAGTTCCAGATCAAGATCTACAGAAGCAGGAGGCAGCCGAATTAGCTGACTTACAGCTAGCTGCTTGTACTGAATGTTGTTGCTTTGGGCCCCATGTACAAGCACGCAACCATCTTAGACTTGTCTCTTACCAGGTCCAGGTTTCAATACTCGCCAATCGACATGTGACAAGCACGAAAATATGCGCGTGCTGCGCAGGTCTGTATGTATCGAGTACTTACTGAGCACCTGGTACTCTATCCAAGTACTTGTCATTTCGATCAGCCTAGCAATCCCAGACAGCAGCAGAGGCAACCACCCTAACCTCTCCCGATTCCTGATGCTCTTCAGGCTTCATGCCCGAAGCCCCAAAATGAGGTTGTCGGGCCACGGAGCTGTGAAGACCTCTCTGCCTACGATGCCCTTGTGCCCACCTCAGCTGTTCAGCCTTATGAACTAGAGGTGTCCACTTCTTTGCTGTCCTGGCCGGCAGCTCCTCGTTCCCATTTTGAGGGGCACTCAAGCGCCACGATCTTTTTAAAGTTGTTTTGAAGAGCACAAGGAATTACAGTTAACTCGCTGCAGCCGTGTCCTTGCTGCAAGCAACTTTCACTTATGGATCATGCCGACGCAGTTTGCCGAAACAGGGCTTCCTTCTTTGAACCTGACATTTGCATCCGCCGTTTGGGCTACCATATACAAGCGGTTAATTCCTGACTGACAGCCATAGGATGCCGCAGGCGTTCTTGCAGGGGGTGTGCATTCAGCATTGCCCAGAATGGAGGATTGCACATGGATTCATCCGTATGAGTTAGAATAGCTACAACATGGATCGTCGTTGAATTCCTGCAGTGGTTGCCAAGGCTTCTTCAGGTGACTCCTTTTGCCAGGAGCCCTGGCTGCACAAAAGGTCCTCTTGCTTTCAGACCATTGATTCCGTAATGTCTTGACTACTCTTCACTCACCATGAGAATGAACGCGCCCTGTGACCGTTTACCGCGGATTTCGCTTCTGTTTTTGAAGGGGGGAAGAGAGGCCAACATTTTCGAGAAGTTCGGCCGATATTCAAAATACGCTTGCATCCAGTTCGCCACCACGCAATGTCCGCTAAGTGCGATGGCTACTGTTCTTATACGACAGCCCTACCTGCCATCTCGAGCCGTGGCCCCTGCTGCGGGCACTCTGAGGATGTTTCCTCCTACGAAGGCACCTCGGAAGGCGAGATCTGAGCGCCGTCCGCACATCTCCCAATCGGAGCCCTGACATCCCTGACAGGGCTCCACGACTGCAAGGCAAAGTGCGACCGCATCTTGCATGCAATGGCGAAAGTGAAAACAGCACAGACCCCTCCGTCTCGCGACTGATGTCTTGTTCAGTGCACGGAGGTCGTTGCCAAGAAGGGCATCGTGAAGTGTAAACTGCAAAGTTTCGAGCCAGACCGTGAGGAGTCAGGGATGCACACTTGAAGGCTCATGCTGGTGCAGAGCACATTCCTGCGCTTCTATCTGAGGCGACGGTGGGTGCCCAGGAAGGCACATAGTCACCTTAGACTTTTGGGGTTGCTTGACAATGATTGTTCAATGCTGGGACCTCGCATGGGCCAGCCGAGGTGCAAGTATTTCAGCATCTGGATGACCGGTGGTCAGCACTGGAATCTCGATTAGCATTTGCGGCTTACGAGGGGCCGTCCCAGAATCTCTCGTGAGACGGGCTCAAGACCGTTTCAGGCTATAGTACTCCTGCACTGCACTGTGTGTTCTATTGCAGTTCAAGCTGGCTAAGGTGCCGCTTGACTGCGAGCTGTGTTGAACGAAGTCACCAGCCGGGCCACAGCATCGGTGTCTACAAGAGGCGCTGGCGGGACTTGGTCCCAGTGTTTAAAGAGGCACAAACGACGTGCAGGTTCCAAAGATACCGAATTTGCGCTAGCACCATGTGGGAAGGAGGTTTCGTATCCTTGAAGCACTGCAGGATTTTGTTCGATGTTTCAAAGACAATGACTGGGCGTGTCCCGTTGTCCTTGACGACCCAAAACTGTGCAAATTTGTTGTCAAGGTTGGACGGTGCAAGGCATCATGTGTCCGAGCACACGGTTCCTTAAGCATTGTCGTGAAGCACCTTGTGCCAAAGATACCGGGAAACGGGATGAGGCCTGCTGCAAACATCATTCGCTTAGGCTTAGGTCGAGCCTGCAACACATAGACAAAGCCTGTAAAACCCAATGCGTTAGGCTATAGAGATCATTTAACGTCCACCAAAACCCGAGAAAACAAATAGACACTCCTTCCAGCTGCGTCGGAAGGCATCAGATGGCATTACCTGGCTCACCCTTCGAGGCCCCCTGAACAGGTTTTCGAAAACGGCTTGGCATTCAGGGTGGAGATTCATACTCCGGCGGAGAGAGTCCGTGTTATCAGGGTTGGACACCTAGGGCACATTGACACACGTTGTTTTGACAGAAAGAATCGGATTTGAGTCTGGGTTCAAAAAAGAAAGAATCGGTATTTTGACTTCTCGCAGCCCTGGACAAGAGTGTGCACGACACGGCACCTCGTGCCGAGGTCTCGCAGCCATTGGCATTGCCCTTTGCGGCCCCTCGCAGCAACATGTTGTGAATTTCTGCTCGGAGGGTAGCAACCAGGTCAGTCCCATAACTTTCTGACTTCAGGTATCCAGGAGCAGGATTGATGGCAAAGCTTCGGCTTCGCCTAGCATCGAGTATAAGTGTCCAAGCTTGGCTTGGTGCCATAGCACGACTCTGAACAGAGTAGTACTGTGAGTGCATCCAACTGTCTTAAAAGATGAGCTTAAAGTCAGCGAGGCATGTTTAACGTAAGCCTAGCTCCCAAGCACAGAAGCCTTCGAGTCTTGAAGGCTGTCCGAAGCTGCGAGGGCGATCGAGAAGAGCTTAGCATCAGCTTTTGTAAGACGTTTCGCCGGGATCACCAAATCAGGAGAACCGCCGCAATGGCCTTGCAGTGGTGTAATTCAGGCGGACACTCAGTTAGCAGAGGTTCCTTGTTATGTTTGCAGCGGTTGAGGGCTCAGGATTTTACAAGGCGTAGACATCCTGTTATGAGCTGGAACTTCAGGACTTCGACGCCTACAAGGGGGTCAATGGAACTAGTTGTGATGCTTACCCCGCGAGACTCGGCTTTAATTTGGTGGGACAACATGCCGGTGGTGGACAAGGAGCTGGTCCTGACCTGCTGGGTAACTCATATCAGCCCGGAAAACTGTTTCGTATGACCATGCTTTGGATGCGATATCTTGCTGGCCGTCAAGCTGGCCAGCTTGCGGCAGCAGTATATTCAATTGGGGATGCCCAGGTGCCGCGCGGCAGGTCTCGCTGGCAGGTGCTGTCCCAATCATGAGAAGGCTGGAGGGCGGTCCGTTTCTGTGTTTGAGTATGGTTTGTTCGCGCCGGGGTTGCCCAACCCAAGCGACAAGCAGTTGTGGTTGTGGTTCCGGCGTCAGACGCTCGGCACTTCATGCATATATGCATGGCATTTACAAAACTTTGGAGCCTTGGGCAAGGTGACGTTGTCCTGCTGCAACGGCCCGCCTCCAGCACCCCAGCTTCAGTAACTTCGATGTTCGCGCGTTACTTACTGAGCTACTTGTACCTGGCGGGCTGCAGGCCTTTTATACCTCAATAGCAGGCCGGTGTTCAGTGTTCCGACAAGGCGTTTTGGAAGCAAGGGGGGCAGGGTGAGTGGTACCTTGTTGAAGCCTTGTTGCTGTGCACTCGAGGCACTACCTGGCCACGAAGTGAAACCTGTGGTGCCACGCAGGCAACATCCGAGCTACTCAGCGGCAAAGAGGCTGGCTGAAGCTTGTGGTTTGGCACCTGAAACCGGAAAGTTGAAGTCGTAGCAGCCAGGAGTTCTTCAGTGACCCAGGCAGTTGGATACAGTATGACCCGTATCCGCAGCGATTGACGTCGCCCGTGAAGCTCATACATTTGCATGTATTGAAAAAATACTAGGGTTTGGGCGCGCATGGTTGAACATGGTCCACTGTGTCACTGTGTGTTGCAAGTCATCTAGGTCACTGCAACTCCGTGTACGTTTCGTGGAGCCATCTCGATCTGTTGTGAAACAGACGTGTTTTCCCATGTGCGACCTGAATTAGAATCACAATCGGTAGTGCGCTGAACTACATGCATATTATGCAGAGCATTATGCCGGACTGCTTTGGGACTACTTTGATAGCCCAGGTGTGACATCACGGTGAGCTGGCCCTTCTCTCCTTTCGGTGGCTCACCTTTCAGCATCTCGCGAAGTCTTTTCGTCCTGTACTGGTAGTTCTACCATTGCAAGCTCAAGGCCCACTCATGCACCTCCTCACGCAGTGTCTCACCCGCGATGTGTCATTCGTAGGCCTCGACTGAGTGCAGTTTTGCTTTGTTCCAGACTTGGGCTTGGGCTGGGCAGAGCCGAGGTGTTGTCACCGGAGGTGCCGAAATCATCGTGTCCCACGAGCTGGGTGAGGCGCCTAATTTATAGGCTTTGACTACGCAGCCAGGGCCAACGAAGGCATGGCGAGGGCTGGGCTGAACTCTGATCTTCGGGTACGGTTCAGGAGGCTTTAGATGGCTTTATTCATGGTTTAGGGCCAGTTTGGGGCTTGGGGATCTTCTGCTTATCGGGTGAAGGGCCTTTGGCGTTGAACGCTCCCTGCATTCCTGCGTCAAACACCTATGACATGCTGCGAACACGATAGATTCAGCATCCGCAAGATTTGGGCAGCGACAAAGGCGGCTTCCGGTCTTGAAGGGTACTGTTCCTCTTACTGTAGTACTTTAGAGTTCGAACCCCCATGCTCTGCTTACCGGTCAAATCCTTTGATTTGATCAACTTCTCTCGAGGTCCTCGCTGTCTACCACGCACCGAATTCGTCAGAACGACGGCTTGGAAGCTGAAAGCTTTCGCGACTCAGGAGGCTGCAAGGGCAGGATTTGCTGCAGCTGTCATCGTTTTTACGAACATCAGTTCGACAGTTGCTAATAGAATGAGTTACCCATGGGTTTGATATGAACGATGCAGGCTTTGCTGCAAGTCTGGGGCCTCAGACATTGGAGCCTAAGCCTCAAGCTTCCGAACTGCCCGAACGAAGTCCCTGTGTTCTAGTCCGGACTCTGAGTAGATAGAAGCCTGAAGATCTTGAGTTTAACTCCAAGGTTTGAACCAGCCATGTTTCTGCCTTATGCAGTACAGACCCGGGAGTGTCCAAGCCATGAAACGATGGCGGGGCAGCCGGAGAGCTCGTCTTGCGGAGACAAAACGTTCTGGCCGATTCGCTTTATGTGGCTCTTCGTCAGATGTTTGGCATCTGCGACCTTTGGGGGGCGAGACAGAGAGCGAGAGAGATGGAGGAACAAACTGTGGGACAATGGCTCCCCTGCTTTGCAACTTCGCGTTTCTCACTTGTTTGATTGAGCTTCCAACGAGATTCAAGACTTCTGCGGGGTATTGGTCATCAGGATGGTTCTCCGGGAGGCAGGTCTGGGTTTACTGTAGTCCGAGCCCTGAGGCCCATTGCCCCTCTGCCCCAGCCCTGGCAAGCGCTGGAATCTCAGGTGCTTCCTGTGCAGAGGTTTCAAGGCCGGATTGCTCAAATTCCCGGCGTCGTGACGTTCTTAAATGAGAGCTTCAGAAATGAGGGACACCAAAACAGACAGTAAGAGGGAGTATCTTTCTGATAAGGAACCTCTCTTCAAGCTACCACTCATTGTATGAGCCCCACCCCACCCTCCGTAACTAGCAGCATCTTAACGGCACTCGTGTTTGATTAGACATTGCCTAATCTTGTTCTTTCTTTTCTGTCCAAGCCTTCACGACCGTGTGTTGGTTTTAGTGGAGGGCGGCCCTCCCTCAGCCCGACACAGCGGTTGGGCTTTGCCGGCCCACAGCCCTTGCACGATGTCACGGAGGATCTCATATGCCTGTTTTCGTACAGAGGGCTTATGGCTATTATCCTCTTAGCATTGTCACTATATGTACGCATGCTCTTTCGAAGGAGCTCAGGCCAGCTGTAAAGTGATCTCTTCCTGCCTTCCCGTCGGATTTGCGGGTTGGGGGTGGGGGGGGGGCAGAGCATTCCTTCAGGTTCGTGCAGTCCATGAAGGAAGCCGACTTCTCCTTGCAGGCCCCGGAGAAGTCTCTTTCCGGTGGCCCGATATCTTGCTACATTTGCGATTAGGACGAGCACACGAATCCTCCAAATTCATTCGGATTTTCAACTCTTCATTACTGAACCGTACTCTCCAAGAGATGGGCACCCCAAATTCCTGCTCAATCCTTAAATCNNAAAAAAAAAAATAATCGCAACGAAATTCGATTCAGTGTAGACCATCCGTCCGTTTTGGTTTCAGGGAGGCAGTTCAAGTCCCGCTAAACGAACTCCCTGGCACGTGAAATCGCAGCGTTTCGGATGATAGGGCTAATCTCTACCGATTCTACCAACGCGTACTCCCCCAAACCCGGTATGACAAGCCCGTCGAAGGCCGTACAAGAAGTCATCACCTTGCACACCCCCAGAAACAAACACAAGTTTGGGCGCCCCAGCCCGGACTGCCTGAATGGGCCGGATCGTGGTCGCAATGAAGAGTTAACTTGATGCAGGACCACATCATCTGTTCCAGGAAACACTGCTTAGTGTGGGGGGGGG